ATGCACATGGATTGCACCATCTCGCCAGAAAAATGCTTGCATGATAGAATAATAATGCCAGCGGTCTAAGCATAGGTCCGGTTGGGAATTAGTGTTTATAAGCAAAAATGTGCTTATTTAATGAAGGAACTCTTCTAAACTGGAGGCTGTAAAACCAAAGCCTCGGGTTATTGCCTACATATTAGCAGCTGTACAAGTTAAAAATTACACAGAGAGCATCTTCAAGGGCATAACTGTGTATTCTTGGTAAATTAAGTGCTGGTTTATAACCTGGTTAACAGAACAGAATAAACAGAACGGAACAGAATAAACAAAGACCAATTAGGCCTTAAACTGTTGATACTTACAAACCAATTGTGCAATGTGGATTCAGCCATTCCTGGGGTAGTGAGCGCAGTCTGTGAAATGTAGCAGGAAGGCAGGGGGAAATCTGCTCTGCTCGCTAGCAAGAAACTTGCAGCCCAGGATAGACATGCAGAGAACAAGCTCTTGCCTTCCCCGCAACCACCCAGAGGTCAGAGCAGGGAGAAGGCTGAAGGCCTTTGCACCCGGCAGGCACTCTCATCTTGCAGTGCCTGCCAAGCACAGAGCAGGCCCAGCCAGCTCCCCCTTTCCCCTCTGGCTCGGTGAGCTGAAGCGAGGTGCTTGGGCCACCTTTGCCTCTGCACACGGCCAGTGCCTAGAGCAGTGATGGCGAACCTTGTAGAGACTGCACGCCCAAACCGCAACCCAAAACCCACTTATTTATTGCCAAGTGCCAACACTGCAATAAAACCTGAAAACATCCAGTCCAAGCAAATCTCTTCCTCCCTCCCTCCCTCCCTCTCTCCTTGGCAGCGCACTGACCAGCCATGTGAAAGCTTGGACGAATTGCAGCTAATATGTCACAGCTCGTGACACCATCGCCTGGTGCCACTACTCCTTTCCGAGCATGCGCATGGCCCCTATGTGCACTGTTATCCGGTGCTCAGCTGCTGGGGCGATGCTGGGGCGACTTGGCTCACATGCTGACAGAGAGGGCTCTGCATGCCTGCTGTGGCATGTGTGCTACAGGTTTGCCACTGCTGGCCTAGAGCATCCACGGGGTAATGGGACAGCATCAAATACTTCTTTCTCTCCAGCTTCGAAAGACATGGCTTGGGTTTCAGACAGGACAACCCGCACTCAGGGACTCCGTGTGGGCTGAATGTGAGTTCTGGTTGAAGAAATCGGTTGTTGTTCAAACATGGGTGGCCTGAGCCCAGGCAGGCAACATGCCCTTCACATGCACAAAATTACATATGCACTCACACTATTTTAATATGCTGTACAAATAGCATTTTATTCTTCCAAGGGACTGTGGAGTTCTACTGTAGATATTCCATTGGTTCTAGGTTAAGGATTATAATTAGTAAACTGTTTTGCTTCTTTATTGATCTTGAATCATTTTCTTCTTCTTTTTGTTGCCTTTATAACTTTATCTCAGAATAAAATAAATGTTCATTGGTAAAAAGGGAAAGTGAGTGTGATTATAGACCCCAAAGTGGAACAGAAAGTGGAACAAAGTATTCACAGGGTTTTCATTCAAATTTATTCACTTACATAAATCTTTATGGGAGGTCAGCAATGGATTCCTGAATGTGAATTTCTGAAATGCATTCATGCTTTCTTTCTGTATGTAACATCTTACTTCTACACTTTTATATGAATTAAAAGAGAAGCTTTTGCTTGACCAAGATGATTGACTGCTTGGACTGTGAAGTCGTATGTTGTCTGACTGCTCAGAATTGGAAAACTGCATTGGTAATATTTAGGATCTCCTCCTCCTGTGCATGTAATATTTTTCCCAGATACTCTGCAAGTTAAAGAAAATTAAAATTAAAATCTAAGCAGTGCAGTGTATAAAGGACAAACCAGTACCTTCTGTCATTTTCTGAAGTTGGATTTAATTGAAATGTGTCATAATTGGCTATACCAATTACAGAAAGGACCTGCATTACAGAATAATCCTCTTTGCTTATCCATTTTAAAATACTTGCTTCCTCTTCATTTCCCCTTCATTTGTTCTGACACAGTCATGCTGTATGAACAGTTGTTTCAAAATAAACCAGGATACCTAAGCCAATTTTAATGTCAGGAACCATAACTCCAGGTCAGCGCTGCACAAGCACTGTCATTAAGAGTGGCTTCCTGGTTTGTTTTCTTGCTCATATAAAGGGATTGACCTGCTATGGACAAGGCTTTGCACAAGCATTTTCAGCATCGCCCAAAGGGTCTCAAATCAGTGCCACCAGACAGATATTATCTTGACGCAAATAGATTTACCGTTCAAATAAAAAGTAGCTTGTTTTTCGCAGGCCGTACAAGTTAGTGGATCTTCCTCGCCCCCATCTGCATTTTATTTCCTTAAAAAGCCATGGTTCACATTTCAAGTTCTGTGGAACATCAGGGGGGTCTGTAGCCGTAAGGGAGACAAAGGGGAAAACATTTACATGTACAGCACACTCTTTGAACCTTACATCCAAAAATGTACTCTATCTATTAGCATCCTAGTACACTAAAGTGGAAGGGGCCAATAAGACCATAAGACTAACTCCTGCTCAATGCAGGGCTCCAAGTTATAGATGCTGCCCAGCTACCTTAAGCATGGGAGAACTTACAACCTCTCTGGATACAAGAGGAACAAACAGTATGCAACCCATGAAACAGGGTACCAACAGACCAACACAAAATGACTTTGTACATGCATGCTTTTTAATATGGCAAGTATAAAACCTGAAGTTGATTAGGCAGCATATAAAGAAGCTCTATAGAAAACAGCATTGCCCAATAGCACAAAATGATTCACTGAAGTCAAGCCTAGGGGTGGTGGACAACATTTTCAGTCTGCCTTGTATATAGTAAGTTTATCCAATTTGCACCTCCCAAATCCTATAAAAGAATGAGAACATGTTTGTCCACCCAAATACGCACTTTTCAGAATTTTGTAATACTGTTTGCAAGAGAAAATATGTGTATAATAAGGGGACATGTGCATAAAATGCATATATTTGGAAACAGCATGCGCAAGAAACACTTTAAATTAGGAAAAATACTAAATACTGCAGCAATGCTGCTCCTCTACTGATGTTGTCCAGACTGGGCATAGACCAGTCACTGAGGTCTCCTGATGCTTTTTAAACTGAGCTCCAGAATTTCAGTGCACCCCATATATCAGCTTTAGGAGCAGTCAGACTGACCAAGAGAAAGGTGGGTCTACAGGTGTCTTGGAAAACTAGTCTATTTTCTGGAGGCCTTGCTATGCATGGTAGAATCCCATCCTCCACCCCCATTTCCACCATATGTAGGTCACTCAGATACACTGCAACTTTGGGTGGGATTGGACAAAGCCTGAGTCACTTTGTGCAGCTCAAGCAAACCCTTCAAAGGGTTGCATCAGGGCTGTCTTCACTATTCTCCTGAACTCCTACCTTGCTTAGCCAAGTCTTCTGAAACCCGCCTGTACAGTTTTGGTCATGCTTTCTTTTGTTATTACATTACAGCTCACCATTTTTCTTCCAAGGAACCCAAAGCAATTTTCCTAATCATTTTCTTCTCCATTTTATCCTCATAACAACAACTCTGTGAGGCTGGTTAAACTGAGAGTCAGTGACTGGCCGAAAGTCATTCAATCAGCTTCATGACCAAGTGGGGACTAGAACCCAGCTCACCTGGGTCCCAGTCCAGCCCTCTAACTATTACATCACACTGGCTCCCAAAATGCCTTGCCTTGCCTTACTACATAGAGTTTATGATTTACTCAGTCTGTGCCTCACTGCTGACAAACCTATCCTATAACAGACTGCTATGTCAGTGTATCTCTGTAACTAGTTTAAGATCCAAATTCCTGGGATTCTACTTCCAAGAGAATGAAACAATTTCTCCATAATCCGGTCTTCTCTCCAGGCTCCAAAGGTTCTAACTGTGGAGTCTGCTTGCTCCTGAATTGCGCTCTCAGCACCAGGTTACTCTCCCCAAAGTTATGAGTGTACGTTTTAAATCCTTGCTTGTTATGGGTGTACGTTTTAAATCCTTGCTTGTGTTTAATGAAATCCCCATCATTGGGAAGTATGCATATTGAAAACCCCTCCTTTTGCCAGATGCTCTATTGCCAGCATTTAAAATAAATATGTTCTTCAGAACATGTATAAGTTTGTACAAGGAGCACGCTGAAGGAGCACGCTCGGTAAACGTTCCTTTCCTAGGAGCACCCTCAATTTTGCCTTGAATGTAGCTCTAATCATAGTTCAGAGCCTCTTAAACTGGAACAGATATTCCCTTGTCCTGAAATTTGTTTGTTATGTCTGAGCAAAGAATGAAGAAAAGTGTAGTCTTGGCTGAGGTCTTCCCATCAGCATCCCACATGGCGACTTTCTAAGCTGTCTTGAAGAATGATCCAAGGTGTTCAGTATGAAGCCAGCAAGGTCCTGTCAATCTCTTCTGACTCCCTTGCTTGAAAGAGTAAGTTAGGACAGGTAAGGGACTCACAGAGAAAGCCGGGGATAAATTTCCATGGGGTTTTTGTGAGCTATCTCATGAATTATTATGACTATTATGACTATTATTAGTATTAAATTACATTTGAGTGGAGAGCAGAGAACACTACAGCCTATGCACCGGAAGTGACATTCCTAAGTGTCCAGGACTAGGAAGGAGGCTGACATGGTCCTTCCGGTTGCCACAGAGTTTCTCCATACCGCCTGTGCCTCCCATTAGAGGGACATGTTGATGAGAAGCGGGGGGGGCACCTTGGCCAATCTTCCCTGCTGCCCCTCCTTTGTGCGGGTAAGTTTTCCAGAGAAGTGATGAAACCAGCAGAAAAGGCAGAAAACAGGAAAGCAGAAAACAACGTGATGTTAGCAAAGTCACTGCATACTCAGCTGGAACACCACACGGGGTTTGCTTTCAGTTTAGCATAAGCCAGTCAGCCACATATTTCCAAACTGAAGGAACTTGCCAAAACTTTCCGAAATTTGAGCCCCTCAGTGCAGAAACGCCCACACAAATTCTTCATACTTACAGCCTACAAATAGAACAGTTCCAGTAAGGACCTCGTCAGGTCCTGGGTAGTTCTGTAAATTGCACCATGCATTGTTCCCAGACTGAATTGAAGCTCTGACATTGTGCACATGGATTAACATGCTCCGCTCAGAAAGAGGGGAAGTCCAGCACCACTCCGTGGAACAGTCAGCATAATGCACACTAATCAGACTTTGTCCATTTTTCCACACACAGCAGAAAGTCACGTCCGAACCCACTTGCACCATTCTGTCTATTGGATACATCTGTGTGGTGGAGCCTGTATCTTTTCCTGCAACACAAAGGGCAAAAGGGCAGGAGTGAAGAGGTAAGATTTGCTCAATTCATTGGAAAGTGTGGTTTATATAACTTCTAAACCGAACTTCTAAGAGTCTCTTTGGAGAGAGGTCTCCCTAAAGAGTTGCAGGCAACAATGGCAGGTTTGCACATCACGCCAACCCACTCTGGCAGGAAGCTGTGATGGGTTGGTCACGGCAGCAACAACTCAGAGGGCGCCCAAGGGGTGACTGAATACACCCTGGACTGGCATCCCACTTCCTTCTCGTGGCATCCCAGGGGACTCTGTGGTTCAGGTTGTTCTCCCTCCTACCTGTGGCTTCTTTCCCTTCCCCTGTTTTGGAGATTGCTCTTATCAAGCTTTCAATTCAAAGCAATGATGAGAGTGCATGAATGCATATATCCTTGTGAAAAAAGCCATGGGGAGCCCTGTCCAAAAAAAAAAAAAAAAAAAAAAACCCTTTGAAAGGAACTGGAATTTTGACAGCTGCTCTTAAACCTCTGCGCTTGAGTAAAAGAGGGCAGGCTGCAGTCTTGGGAATGGGTGAAATAGCTAGCAGCACTGGGACCTCTCAGGGAAACACAAGGAACTTCAAGGATCCCAGTGCCAAGGGGGAGAAATCCCTCCCCCTGCTGATGCATGAATGTATCACCTGCATCTTTGCTTTGAACTGTCAGTTTGCCTTTTGACAGCTATCAAGACAAATCAACATACTGCTGCTGGATCCTTTCTGGGATCCATTCATGATTCATACCTGGCGCATTTTGAGAGTAGGTTACCTCCAGGACATTACCAGGCAAGTCTTCCTATTTTTGCTCCTGTGGAAATGCACATGCCTGCACCTCCAGAATTGTGCAATTCCAGCAAATGAAATAAAATAAAATATTGGAAGCTTCTATTTATATCCCACTTCTTTTCCCCTGCAAGGAACACAGGGTGCCTTCTGTATCCTCCCCCTCCACTCATTCTAACCTCACAACAAACCTGTGAGGGAACTTAGCCTAAGAGTCTGTGACTGGCCAAAATCACCCAGGGCACTTCATGACTGGGGGGAGTGGGGGTAGGACCCAGATGCTCCAAGTGCCAGTCCAGCACTCTAACGACTACACCAGTGTGGCTATTTGGGGGCACACACAGTACATTGGCCAACCATGTGCCACCTGGGCACGTCAGAGGGGCTGTCAGTGGAAACAGATTGCGAAAAGTGATCTCCAAAGAAAAACAGATAAAAAGGAGGGGAGAAGCCCAGGCAAGCCAAAATGGCTCCCTGCCCCAGGACAGAGGACAATGAGCAAGCGGCCATCACCCATCATGCTGAGGTGAGGTGGCTGGCCCTGGCTGTGCCTCAGGTGAACTCAGCAGAAGCTGCAAGGGGTTTTGGCACTCTTGCCAAGCGCTTGCTCACCATTGCTCCCAACTCTCAGTGGGGATGGTCACCCCAGTCTGGATGCAATGCACACCCACCATGGGTGAAACAAGCCTTGCTGCGGATTATTGGTTTTGTAGTACATTCTCAGGGAGGCTTGTTGGGGGAGGCAAAAACTACCTTGAGGTACACAGTTTGGGTTTGGATGACATGACAGCCATCCACGGCTTGCCACTACGGTGGTTGTCATGTCAGGTAAACCAGGTCAGTACTGAAAGGCCCTGTCCCGACCTTTTGCTGTCCACGTTGAGGGGGAAAATCAGGTCAGTTTTAATCTGGAAAAAAAAGAAAAACACTGGAAGCGACCTTAATGTTGGCAGCACCACTTTCTCCCTTTAAATTTAGTATTTCCAGAAACAGTGAAGATGTGTGGCTAAGGCCCACACTTATATGCACTTATCAAACACCACAAGGTCACAGTAATGCCTGATAAAAAGTACAGTTATTCATGCTGTACCTCTACAAACGACAAGGGCCTTATCAAATGCCCATCCTTGACGGGGTTCTTTCAGTTGCATTCCCAACAACATCGGCTTACCAGTAATATTTGCAACTTGGCTCCACTGACCCCACTTGCTCTCCTCAAGAGTATTGCCATGAAGTTGACAACGGATCCTGACATAGTGTGTAGTGCAATTAAAAGGCAGGTCGGAAGTCCAGGTCCAGTGGAGCAGTTTCTTATGAGCACTTAACTTTGAATGATAGGTTTCCTAAATATTTAAAAGGAATGTTACAAACATACTTAAGAAGTCATCTGAACATCTATGCTTTGTTTGGCAAACCAAGTTTGTGATCCTGGTTATTAAAACAGAGCCTAAACCATAGTGCCCTATTTGGAACCAGTTTACTTGGGACACCAAACCATGACTTAACAAAATAGTCACAAAAAGGAAGGCCTGAGGGGCTGGGGAAACACCTCTGAAAGCCTTTAGTTTTACTCCCTGAAACATCTTGCATCATCCAGACCTGCAATGTAATATATAAGAAACTATGTTCAGTTTCAAAGCAAGCCAACATCAACCTGCACTGGCTTTTCAAGCTAGCCACATGAACTGTGGTCCAGAGATCACTTCAAGCTGAGATTAGGAGAAAGTTCAACTAAACAGGGCCAAATCCCAGGAAAAGAACTGGGAATATTTTAAAGACCAGCAATTAGCTTTCAAAGGAACTCCCTTTCTTGGATACATCCCACTATAGTTTTGCACCTATGCTGAGATTTCATGTTTACTAATGGGATCATTTCTCATTTAACTTTGTGAAAGCTGTATAATGGAATCCCATGGAAGCTAGACAGCATCTAGGTGGTGATAGAATTTTTCAGATTCCCGGCTACATGTTCAGCAGATCTCTCCAACCTTGTAGGTGGGAATCTGTGCTTGGATGCTGCTCTGCTGTCATATCTGGCATGGAAAGAACCACG